TCCGGATGTCTGCACAAATCCGGATTTATCCGGACATGCCAGACGATCGTCATTCCCCATGAAGGTCGTGCTCATCACTGGCGCGTCCCGCGGCTTTGGCCGGTCGCTCGCACTCGCCTTTGCGCAAAAGCGTCATCTCCTCGCCGACAAGACGGTGCAGCTGGTACATATCAGTCTCTAGCCCGAGAAGCTAAGCTGCGCTAGCACTTGTGGGCGCGCGATGCTTCGGGCCTTGCCGAGACCGCCCGCCTCGTGCAGGCCGCCACCACGGACGATGCGGTACGCTCGCCATGCATGCCTACGGAATGGTATTTCAACTTCTACAGGCGACGGCAGTGCACGTGACGACGACCGTGGTCGACATGGGCGCCCGCGACGACTACGTCGATAAGATTGACATCTTCTTGGCTGGCGTGCACGCCCAAGGGCCATCGCAAGTGGTGCTCGTCCACAACGCGGGCACGCTCGGTGAGATTGGCCTCGCCCAGGACCTCTCGTCTGTGGCGTCGCTCCAAGACCACATGGAGCTCAACGTCTCGTCGGTCATGTGGCTCAACAAGCGGTACGGCCTGTCGTGATGCCGTCGGCACTGATGCCAACTACAGCTTTCTCGATGTATTTGGCACCCGCGAAGCGTCGTCGCCTGCGCCAGGTACGTGCGCCTTCAATCTCGAGTAAATTGGCTATAGATTGCTGGTCTAGCGACGCCGCACGTGCTCGTCAACGTGAGCTCGCTCAACGCAATCGAGCCCTTTGCAACGTGCAACACGTACTGTGTCATCAAAGGTATGTCGTTGGCATCCAGCAGTTGGTGCGAAACAGTGTATTTGCAGCGGCGCGGGACATGCACCACCGTGTCATTGCAGTCGAGCAAGGTGCGTTTGTCAAGACACTCAACTACGCGCCAGGCCCGATGGACACCAACATGCAGCTCGCGGTACGTCATCTTGTATGCACGTGTACTGTGTACAAGTCGGTGTCTCTAGCTGCGCGAGTCGGATCGCACGGATGCGACGCTCAAGGGCATGTTCCAGCAGCTCAAAACGACGGTATGGAGTCGCTGCACAACCTATGTGACGCACTTTGCTAGGGCACGTACGTCGACACGCTGGCGTCCGCGACGCTCTGCGTCGAGCACGTTTTCGGGCCGAACTTCGTCTCGGGCTCCCACGTCGACTACTACGACATTGCCGCGTAGCTCTTTCGCGCGCTCTGAACTGCCATCTACTCAATATCGAATACAGTTCCTTGATGAAAGCGCAAGAACTACCTCGATGGTGCGACGAGCGACCTCGGTCCTTACAGACTCGTAACTTTGTGGGTGGTCAACCATCGAGGTTAGGTGCAGACTGTGGTCGATCGACTGGGGGCATGGTAGAGAGAGGTTGTCCTTGCGGCATGGGTGGGGCATCGACCCGTTGGACAGAGCGCCCCCGCTCAGCGTTGACGGCATTTGCAGCGTAGCGCAATCCGTGCAATCAAACGGCCATAGCCCAAGTGCACAGTGGTTGTACCACCCAAGCTATCGCAACGCGGATGCTTGTATGGCTTCGCAGCTTGGCCATGACCAACGTGCTCGTGAGACCATCTATTAATCGAACGCAAATGGCCACGACCTTGAAGCTGCTTGGTCAACGCAAGCAATCTCAACGTCAGGCTACAGGACGTAACAACAAATAGAGTTGGACCCGAGGATCGTAGTCCGACGTCTTCTTTGCTCCAAAGCACAAAAACGCCAGGACATTGCCGTAGCGCTTTTGCGTTTGCTTCACAACCTCATAGAGCATACGTAAGTAGAGTCGATCATGAGCCAACGACGTTGCTCTAGTACCGATAGCAAGCCTTCTCAATCGGTCGGTGGGTGCAAGGGTACGGGCGCCACCTTATACATCCAACGGTACTGCCATAGAAAACAAATCAAGCCAACTTTTGAGAGTGGGCATCCGGCATCATCTGAGTTGGCACGTTCCTTTCGTCTGCCGAAGCTCTGAAAGCGACCATCTGTTGGATCGCGTGTGGGATCGTGCGGTCAAACCACTGCTGTCCTATGCAACGTTCAAGGATACAAAGCTCCTTCGAGCGTCGACACCTCGTTGTGTACAACTTGATGCCGAATGCGACTACGGTGCGGACGCGGTTTGAAAATTTCACGTTTTGTGGCCCTTTCTGCTGTGCGTGGCGTCGATGAACTTACCTTGCGCGCTGCCCCAGGCTTCATGGCGTTAGTTAAACAGCAGCAGGTCACTTTTCAATTTGTCTTGTTGTGATGGCTACCCACAAGGAAATGGCGTCCTGCGACCTCGTCGAGCGCGTCTCGTACCAGCTCTCGGTCGACAAGCCGGACCTCAACACCAATGGCTACGACGAGGCCAAGACGCCGTCGGACCTCGAAGACGGCGCGCTCGTCGCGGGTGGGGCGCTTCCGATCTTGTCGCGCGAAGCCATGGCGCTCTTCTCGCAGTACTTTGCCATCGGGATCGTCTACGGCATGATCCCCGCGCTCAAGAACCCCGTCTTCAACAACTACCTCAACATGGAAGGGTACCAAACCACGGCCTACGGTGTCCTTGTCACGCTCGGCTGGTCGTTCAAGGTGTTTTATGGGATGCTCTCGGACTGTGTCCCAGTCTTTGGCTACCGCCGCAAGCCGTGGATGGTCCTGGGCTGGGCCGTCGCGACCGTCTGCCTCCTCGTCATGGCCTTCACCCCATTTTCCAAGCCGTTCTGCGATCGCCGGACGTACGAGTGCCCGACGAGACGCCCAAGCGCGAAAAGATGACACCCAACCAGCTCGTTCACTACAACTTTGACGCGCCCGACAGCGGCACGCTCTTCATCACGCTGAGCATCATC